TGGCCGGCGCTACCACCCTCGGAGGTAGGCTGGGTGCACAGGGTGGCGTGGCCATGCTATGGGGCTGGATCGGGGCTCAGACTCCCTGATGTCTGGCAGGAGCATGGCCTGTGGAGGGTCCCGGTGAGGCCAGACGCTCCTGTTTGCTCGGGCAATAACCATTACAACGCTGTTCTGTGTTCACCGGCGCTTCAGCGCTGACAACAGGCTGGGTGGGGCTGCAGCATACTGAGGGGGACGTTGGCCTGGATTTCTGGGACCCTCGGCTGGTCTCGGAGTGCTTTGAGGGTTTCATCCACTGTCTGCATTTGAGGCCTGTGCTCTCTTCCTTATCAATACGACTTCATTGACTTGTCCCATAAGAAACATGTGGGTTTGCTCCCAAACACGTGAAGGACTTGTGGGAAACTGGTGGAGAAAAGAGGGATTAGAAACCTTCTTGCGGGGAGGGCGGTGATGGGGGAGGGGTGGTCGGGGAGAGTTCAGTGGGGAAAAAGGAGACCTGTGTAATACTTGAAACAATAAAGACCTGAAATAAAAATAAAAAAAGAAATTTCTTAGTGAATAATGAAGCTGTTGATATAATTAGAGTGATTTATGATTAGAATGTTTAAATTCACATCATAAAAATAAATCTCTACATCTCTGAGAGTCTGTGGTTTGTTAATTCTGAGCAGATATGATCTACGTCTCTGGAGGCTTTGACGGGAGCAGGCGTCACACCAGTATGGAGCGCTATGACCCCAACATTGACCAGTGGAGCATGCTGGGAGACATGCAGACAGCCCGGGAAGGCGCGGGGCTGGTGGTGGCCGGTGGAGTGATCTACTGTCTAGGTGTTGACCCGGGGAGGCAGGGGTGGGGGAGGGTTCCCTTTTTACCAGAATCAAGTTCATAGATGGCCTTCAAGTAAAATCCTGGTCTGTCCCAGTACAGTTCCATTAACTGGGATTGTCTTTCTCATGGAAGCAGAACATGGCTTCTGTTAGATTTCTCTTTGGACTGTGGGCAGCCTTGAAGGAGAGCTGGGATTAAAGGGGGTCAGGATGTGTCATTCTCCCTGGAATGGCCTCTGCTGTCTTTCAGGAGGATACGACGGCGTGAATATCTTAAATTCGGTTGAGAAATATGACCCCCACACAGGACACTGGACTACTGTTACACCAATGGCCACCAAGCGCTCGGGTAAGACTGTCGGGTGTGAGGGGGGCGTCCGAGGTCAGGTCCCTGCTTGCACGGTGGGGGGCAGTCACGGGACAGCCCGTCGGTCAGGGTTGTAGTTCCTCTTTGCTCCGACTTCAGTGAAGCAGGAGTCAGAGTTCACCCTCCTCCTGACCTCTGATCTCCGTGTCCTGAGAATGAAGACAGCTTTTCAGATGAAGTCTACATTTGAGGACAGAAGCCTCCTTGTTTTATTCCCTTTTTAAATCCCAGCATTGGCACGTCTGGTACAGTCGTGTGTGTTTAACATGTTACGTGGGCGAATGCCGGCAGAACTTCCTGGACAGAGGAGCTGGGCTCTGAGGCAGGAGAAGGCTGTGCTGTTCTGATTCACTTTTTCCGTAAAAACTGCTCAGAACCGTCACAGCTCCTTTCCCTCCTCCCTCCTCCATCGCCTCCTTTTTCTATTTCCGTTAACGGAGAGGGTTGGGCTCTGAATTAGTGAAAGTAAAGATGAGAACCATTTTGTGTTTTTTTCTTCTCATTTCAACTCCCACCAGTGGGTTTACCTGAGGGTTCAGCTGGGCATCAGCGACCATGTTTTCTTTCTGGAATCCAGCCTCAGTTCAGGAGTAGTGACCTCTCTGCCTTTTTCCAGGTGCAGGAGTAGCCCTGCTGAATGACCATATCTATGTGGTGGGGGGATTTGATGGCACCGCCCACCTTTCTTCCGTGGAAGCGTACAACATCCGTACCGATTCCTGGGCAGCTGTCACTAGCATGACCACCCCCCGATGCTATGTGGGGGCCACGGTGCTTCGGGGCCGACTCTATGCAATCGCAGGGTGAGGATTTAAAACCAGGCTGGGACCATCATGCATCAGGGCAACATGATCCCCTCCACACTGTTGGGTGGAGACAGAGTGTGGGTCAGGGGAGATGTGTCCATGGAGACCTCAGTGTGGGGTGTGGGTGGAGAGGAACAGAAAGCTCATTTCCCTCTCTCGCTTCTTCCCCACTCAGTTATGATGGGAACTGCCTGCTGAGCAGCATCGAGTGCTATGACCCTGTCATCGACAGCTGGGAAGTGGTGACCTCCATGGGAACCCAGCGCTGTGATGCTGGCGTGTGTGTTCTCCGAGAGAAGTGACCTTGTTGGAGCTCCATCCAGAGCTAGTGACCAGTCCAGGGGCCAGAGAGCAGGCGAATCAAGGGTCGTGTCCAGAATGTCTGCTTCTCGCTGTGTGCTCGGGGTGATTACAAGCACCAGGGTTGGTGATGGTGGTCTTTATTTGCACACACTCCCCCTCGCGCTGGGACTGGTCCCTGAGTAGAGTGGTGAATGGCACTCGCGGGAAAAGGAAGCTCTGAGGGGATGTGCGAGGCCAGGCCACCTCTCCTGGTCTGGGCGGCCCTCTGGCCGTGCCTGACTCTCCGTGTGCTCAGGAGGACATGCGTACGTCGCGCCCGTGTGTTGCAGAGAACAAAAGTGAGGGTGACCTACTAGAGGTGGGCAGTGTCCAGCCGACGTCTGGATTGGAAGGATTCCGGCTTGCGTCAGCCTGATGAAGTACAAGTCCTGTTTTTCAGGACTAAGTGTACTTCCTGGTCTGCGGGAGCTGCACGTAGCTCTGTGCTGGAGGGGAACCGAGGGAAGCGCCTGTCACGGTGGTGGGCTTGGGAGACACCTTTGTCACACTCCGTGGCGGGCAGAGCTGCTGTATCCGAACTGGGCTGAGAGCGCAGTGACCTGAACTCACTGGCGTGAGCGAGACTGGACTCCACGACGGGAGACCTGGAAGGCAGGGTGGATGTCAGAAGGGTCTTCCGAGTCCCCGGAATGTCTGAACTGCAGTGTGGCTTGCCTGCCCTGGCCCTGGCCCTGTGCGAGACGAGCACAGTGAACCAGTGTCAGGTGGGCGGTCTGGAGACGCGGGGCACAAAGAAGTACCTGTGAGTTCTGTTTGTCTCACTCCTGCCAGGGCTCGTTCCCCGCAGCAAGGTTCGCCTTGGGGGAGAAGTCGTCTTTGAATCAGATCCTTCTATGCTGGAACATTTCCTTACTATTTATTGGGGGCAGGGGTGGGGTGCAGCAGCCTGCAAGGTCAGCCACTTAGTATTGCCCGTCCTTTTAAGCGCACACTTGTGCTGAGAGTGGTTTTTACTGCTGTTTGGTACAGCTCGTCCTTGACCTACTGCCGGGCTCCCAGCCTGTCCTTAGAGTGGATGATGTTCATCCCCAGACAGAAGAATCAAAGGACGGCCAGCGTCCTGTGTTCTCCGGTACCTGCTTGCACCTTTTCTGAGCCACCGTTCTAGGCTCTCCTGTGTTACCGAGGGAAATTCCTGCGTGGTGGGTATTGGGCATGTGGGAATGTGATGACCTGAACAAGAAAACAGTCCTTTTACATTGGAATTCCATTTTTTCCTCTCCCTGAATTGAATTGACCTAAAGAGTTCATTTCCTTTGTATATTTTTAAGAAAATATTAAAAATAATCTGTCTCAAATGCCTTAAGAGAATTTGTGGCAAACCAGCACTGTCCTCCTATGTTTGGGGGAGCAGACAGATCAGCTGTGAGAGTCTCACCAGGAAATGTTTCTGAGTTTGCCATATCCATTGACTCCTCTAACGCTTGGATTGTCCTTGAACCCTAAAGGGAATCAAGAAGCTCATTTAGTATGCACTTGAATTTCAGGGTTTTAATCATCCCAGCCCCTCCATTTGCTTCAGTTTATGGCACGTGATAGAAACAGCTATGCAGAAGTGCAGCTATTCCCAGGGAATGGGGGGCAAAGAGGAACTGGTTTGCTGAAGAGCCTGCCAAGCTCTCTCCAGCAGATGGACTGTGCCTGCTGGTGAAACTACAGCTACAAAACATGCCTCTCAGCCAGAGTCCCTGGAGAGACAGACTAGGAGCTCCTCACATGAGTTTCAGATCAAATTCTCAGGAGTTCCGCCGAAATCGGTTTGGCTCAGTGGTCGGCTTGCAGACTGAAAGGTCCCAGGTTCGGTTCCAGTCAAGGGCATGTACCTTGGTTGTGGGCACATCCCCGGTGGGGGGTGTGCAGGAGGCGGCTGATCGATGATTCTCTCTCATTGATGTTTCTAACAATCCCTCTCTCTTCCTCTCTGTAAAAAATCAATAAAATATATATTTTTTAAAAAAATCAAATTCCCAGGAGTTCTGACATGACACTACAACAGGATGTTTGGCAGTGTTCCCTCCTCATGCTCCCCCAAGGGGTGCCCCTATCCTGGTAGTTCCTCCTGCCTTTCTCTGTCTCTTAACTGGAAGCCAGTCACTTGGTTATCCACCGCAGAAAGCTATCATTCACTTTGTGGGCATGCATTTGATTAGTTTCTGGGTTCTGCATGGTTTTGTTTTATCTCTGTCCCAAATCCATTCCTGTATTTTCACTCCCTTATAGTGCAGGCCTTTCTCGCCGGGACCCGTGGAGCAGTGGCCTCCTGATGTCCTTGCCACCTCTCTTTCTTCCAGCCCAGGCCCTCCGTTTGTCCTGCTAACTTTCCCAGCACAGCTGGGGTCATGGCAGTACCTGACATGCAGCAAGTTTTCAGGAAATGTACAACTTATTTCTGGCCCAAAGTGCCCATCTCCATGGATCCTGGGGGGTTAGCATGTCATGTGAGTGCTTGAACCCTGAGTTGACGGAAGAGGAGGAAATGCAGGTGGGTCAAGGGTGGTGGGTGACACCTGGCCTGACCCAGTGGGTGCTGAACCCGCAGCTCTGAACCGAGAACCTGGGGATGTGATGACGGCTGTGCCTGGACCCGTGCTTCCCGGGAGGTCCCCTCTGACCCGGACCCTCCTCGCTGCGCCCGTCGGATGGATGAGCCACAGCCACAGGGAGGCAGTGGCGGTCCAGCTCGGTCCTAAAGCGCCTCCACCCCTGGGAGAGAGCTCACTGCTTAGCACCGACCGGCCCTCGGCTTCCGGCTTCCGGCTTCCGGCTTCCGGCAAAGGAGGGGTGCGTGTCCCCGCGGGTGGGACCTACATTGCCTTCCGTCCCCTCCGCCGGCCCTGAATCCACGTCTCCGGAGACTGGGAGGTCCGAGCAGCTCCGATGACCCAATAGTAAGGGAGTCGGGGACACGTGTCCGCCCTGCCCGGGTCCTGTCACAAAGCCGCCGGCCCCCGCCACTCAGGGCCGCGGGGCGGGCCTGCGCGTGCGCAGTGGAGCCGGCGCGGGCAGAGGGCGCCTGCGCAGGAAGCAGTGGCCGTCCGCCCCGCCCCCTGCGGGAGCCGCGCCTGCGCGGTGCGGGCCCCGGGGCGGCGGCGGCGGCGATGGAGCCCGCGGAGGCGCCGCCGAGCGAGCTGGTGTCGGCGGAGGGCCGGAACCGGAAGGCGGTGCTGTGCCAGCGCTGCGGCTCGCGGGTGCTGCAGCCGGGCGCGGCGCTCTTCTCCCGCCGGCAGGTAGGCGCCGGGCGGGGGCGAGCCTCCGCGCCGGGGACCCGGGCCCTGCTTCCTCCGGGGCGCGGGCCTCAGTGCCCTCCTTCCACCGGCCCCCGGGTTCTCTCCCCTGAGTCTCTCCCGGGGGCTCCGCCCGCAGCGCCGGTCCCTGGGGCCGGGTTCCGCTAAGGCGGGGACGCAGTTAGCGGGGCCGGGGGCACCACACACCTGGGGTCCCATCCCTGGGACCTCACACCTGGGACGTTACACCTGGGATCCCACACCTGGGACCTCTCACCTGTGATTCTACACCTGGAATCCCACACCTGAGACCTCATCCCACACCTGGGACCTCATCCCACACCTGGGACCTCATCCCACACCTGGGACCCCACAGCTGGGACCTCATTCCACACCTAGGACCTCATCCCACACCTGGGACCTCATCCCACACCTGAGACTTCACACGTGGGGTCCCGGCCGGGGCTGTGACACTGGTCGTTTTTACTGCTGCACCAGGAGGCCTGTGTCCCGCCAGTTCTCACTCGGGGTCTTTTCTGAGCTGAGGTCGCAGCGACACCGGAGTAGTGGGGGTACCTAGCGGCTCCCAGCACAGGTGTCGCCTCCAGGGCCCTGACCTCGGGGCCTCCACAGGGCCTGCTGGGCTCCAGGGCACAGGAGTGAGCACCGCTGGGTGGAAGGGTTGTCGCAGAATTTGCGACCAGGTTTTAAAACCACCGCAAGTCCTCAGAGGAAGGGAGAAGTTAGAAACAAGGTAACAGAAGTTTACTCTCTGTTGTAACAGTTTCCATTCTCATCTACATTGTAGCATGCTTGCCAAGTTAAGGAAGACCAACTGAGGAGGTTACTTTTGAGCTGAATATTAAAAAGAGGGGCTGGCCTTGCCAAGACCCGAGGGCAGAGTAGACTTACCCTGCATGTAGACTGGAGCAGGGTAAACTCGGGGGAGGTTAGAAGCCCAAGGTCAGGATAGCAGTGAAGATAAGTTACCAATGCAGCTGGTTAGAGTTCCCTTTTTTTAATTTATTGATTTTTTACAGAGAGGAAGGGAAAGGGATAGAGAGAAACATCGATCAGGTGCCTCCTGCACACCCCCTACTGGGGGTGTGCCCGCAACCAAGATCCATGCCTTTGACCGGAATTGAACCCGGGACCCTTCAGTCCACAGGCCGAGGCTCTATCCACTGAGCCACACCAGTCAGGGCCAGAGTTCCTTTTTCAACCTCTTTAGAATCAGGGCACAGCCCTAGCTAATTTGGCTGAGTGGATAGAGCGTCGGCCTGTGGACTGAAGGGTCCCAGGTTCAATTCCAGTCAAGGGCATGTGCCTTGGTTTCAGGCACAACCCCAGTGGGGAGTGTGCAGGAGGCAGCTGATTGATATTTCTAACTCTCTCCCTTCCTCTCTATGAAAAAAAATCAATAAAATATATTTTAAAAAATAAAATAAAAAGAATCAGGGCACAGAGCCCAGGCAACAGAGGAGCCACCCGCATCCTGGTCTGTCCCTGACGGGACTGCGTGTCTGGTTTGTGGGGGCACCGCGTGCAGTCCACGGTGCGCGGGGAGCTGGCGTGACCGGTGCTCAGCGTGGCTGGCGTTCCTGTGTTCCCCCCTCCCCCCTGCAGCTCTTCCTGCCCTCCATGAGGAAGAAGCCGGCCCTGGCGGACGGCGGCAGCCCCGACGGGGACCTCCTGCAGGAGCACTGGCTGGTGGAGGACATGTTCACCTTCGAGAACGTGGGCTTCACCAAGGACGTGGGCAACGTCAAGTTCCTGGTGTGCGCCGACTGCGAGATCGGGCCCATCGGCTGGCACTGCCTGGACGACAAGCACAGCTTCTACGTGGCCTTGGAACGGGTCTCCCACGAGTGACCCCCAGGCGTCAGAGCCGCCCCGTCCCAAGAACTGGCTTTTAACCCAGTGCCACGGCTCTGCCGCTCGTCTCTGTCCTGGTGGGCGTGGACGCATCTCGCCGAACGGGCGGGGACAGCCCTGCTTTCTCAGAGTCTGGCGCACATGCCTCTTCTAGTTCACGGAGTACCATGCCGCGCCTAAGCTCCCGCCCCCTCCCCCCAGCTGCGGACACGGGGAGCGCCCCGCCCTTCTCCTCTCACCCCTGCATCCTGCTGGGCTCTCTTTTACCCAGGGCTCCCTGGCTGCCTGCTCTGGACGGGCACCGCCCACCCTTCAGCCATGGCCACGGCGGTGCTCACGTGCTGATAGTCGAGGCTTCACCTCTCTCTCCATCCCAGAAGGCACGCGGGCGTCTGAGAGTGGTGCTGCTGTGCGGCTGATTGCACACAGGCGTTTATTCATTCTTTTTAAACGTGTGACCTTGCCAGGCTTTGGTATTTAGGCTCCTGATCAGGAATGCCGAGGTGCACCTCCGTGCCAGGTGTGAAACCCTCACCTCCAGGTTGTCAGAAGCCCTTCGTGGTGAAGATGAAGGCAGCCCCTCTTCCCTCCCAACTCCGATGAGGTTTACAGCCTGTACGTCGAGAACCAGACTTTCCACCCCATTGTATCTGAGGCCATTGGATGTGGGGTCTAAGAGGAATAGGCCTTTGCCATATTACACAGGAGTTTGTAGGTTTGTCTTTTCTGGACAAGTGAATGCTTCCTTTGTTCTCAGGAAAGACTTCCTTAATGGATAATGTCTTTGCTGAACCTGCTGGGCCTGGTTCATTTGGAATCTTTGCGCCAGCCCCCAACACAGACCTTCCACCCAGAGGCCTCGGTGGCTGCAGCGGGGGAGTCGCTCTAACCGGGTGATCTTAGCGCAGTATCTCCCCTCCCAGTAGGACTTGAGTTCTCCTGGAACGACTCACCTCTGTGTGGCTGGGTCCAGGTTCCTCCCCATCACCCACCACTCAGACCCGGGAGGCTGGCATTGCAGGAGGACTAACCGGAGGCCGCCTCTCTGCCGTCCGTCTGTCCCCTCCCCCCAGAGCTTCCTCTAGGGGTCCCTCACCGACGGGTGGGTCTTGGGCATGGTTCTGCGACTGGCCTGCCTCCTCCTGCTCGGTCAGAGCCCCAGTGAGCTCCCGCAGAAGGGGGAGAGCCATTCTCTAGACAAGCGGTCTAGGGTCCATGGTTATGTCGTTTACAGAAAGACAGCTGTGAGAATTCTCCACTCAGGTTGGAAGGGACAAAGCCAAGCAGAGGCCTCTGTGGGTGAGGGGCCCCTCCCGGCACAGCCATGTCCAGGCGAAGCATTTTCTAAAACTGGGCTCTGACTTTTCTTTCCTTTTTTAATCACAGAAATCATACCCATTCGTTGCAGATACACACAAAAAGGGTCATAAACATCTTTTAATCCCTCGTAGTTCCACATCCACAGATGGTAATGCTGCATATGTCCATCTCAATGTTTTCTACGCGTACGTACGCGTGTACGGCTTAAAACAAGCATGAGCCCATACTGGGCTCGGTTATAGTTAGCTTTCTCCACTTAACAACACGCCAACTTCTCTTGTGTGTAGCTCTCCCCGGTGTCCGCCCTCGTGTTTAGCGTGGCATTGTATGTCTGTGTTTATGTAAGCAGTCCCCGTTAGATTGCAGCTAGACGCACGTTCCCAATGGTTCCCTCGGGGTAGGAAGTGGGATGACAGGGTCTGCTGTGCACATGCCTCAGATCTGGCCACGCCACTTACCCTCCAGATGGAGGCAGACTCCCGCTGCTGAACCGTCCTACCACCGGGCATGAGTTCTCTCTAGAAGAGCACGTGGCCCTGGCCACGTAACTCGGTTAGAGTGCCGTCCAGATAACGTCCTGGTTGCGGGTCCAACCTCCGGTCGGTATAGATGCAAGAATCAACCAGGGAATGCACTGATATGTGGAACAACGAATCGACGTTTCTCTCAAAAAAAATATATATTTTGTCACTTTAATAGGAACAATAGTCTCATTTTTATTTGCATTTGTTATTTCTAATGAAGTTTTTATATACTTAGTAGTGATTTGTATTTCTTTTGAGAATTGCCAGACACTGTTGCCCAGTAGCCAAAGAGTATCAGGCTGTTATCCTGCCTTTTCAGTTTGATTTGAAAGAAATAAAGGCATTTAAACAATGGACATTATACTCCTGTACGTCCTTGGAAAGAACATCTAATTTTAGACACCAGAGGAGAGCTGAAACTTGAGATTGACCTTGAGTTAATCAGTCATCTCTTGGTCTCCCTCACACCATAAGGCAGAGGAGGCACACGCTCTGTTCTGAGGAGAGAAAGTTGCCTTCCTGTGGGGGAGAGGTTGATTTTCCGAAGGACTCGTTCCTACAAAATTCTTTTTTAACAACCAAAGCTGGACAGTGGTGTGGCGACATTTTACTGAGCCAAACCAGTCCTGGCTGGACAGAATGCTTTTTAAGTCAGAAGACATCAGCCCTAGCCACTGTGGCTCAGCGCATAGAGCATCAGCCTGCGGACTGAAGGGTCCCAGGTTCGATTCCGGTCACGTGCACATTCCTCAGATGGAGGCTGGAGCCCCAACTTTGGTTTGGGCTTATGTGGGAGGCAGCCAACCGATGGGTCTCTCATATCCATGTTTCTCTGTTCTCTCCCCTCTCCTGATCTCTAAAAAACAAAGGAAAATATACCAAATGAGGATTAACAAAACAAAACAAAAAATTTTTTAATCCAGTAACCAAAATTAATAACTCAGTGGGAGGTTTTAGCAGCCAATTAGGCACAGCGTTGTAAAGGTTCTAGTGAGAGCCATTGAAAGTGTACCTGCCCCCAAGCATCCTGTACTCAATTTCAATGTCAGCCGGCAGCCTGCACTTTGCTTGTCCTCCCTCTTGGCAGCCAGCAGAGGGCAGTAGAGGCTGCAGCCACAGGCCTGTCCGCAGGGGCCAGCTTCCCGTTCAGGGCCTGGCCCAGTCCAGGCCCTGTGGTCCCAGGATTCTGAAGGACAGGGATGTTTCTGTTCTTTTTAAGCTCCCGTGAGCTTCAGGCCTGCCTGGAAAGGCCTCTGGGGGGCTACGTAACGAATTAGCATTCGTCTGAGGGGCCTGCTTGAGGCAAGGCCCTGGGCCTGCCTGAGCGCCCTGTCTTGATCCCTCCGAAGCCGTGTCATGGCTGTTGGCTTTCCACGGGAGACTGTGTGTCGGCAAAGCTGTTCCGGCTGACTCTCGGCCTCCGGGTTCCTTGGGACCCAAGGGCTCGGGTTAGGGGTGGAGCTGGGGCTCAGTTGGCAGGGAAAGTGGTTGGGAAAACCTGCCCGGCACCCGTTCAAGGATGGGCCTGTGTCTGCTGGGCCTGTAGGGCTGGCTCTACTGGTCTCTTCGCCCAGAAACCAGGAGCTGACCTCCCTCCGGTCTTCCCAGCACAGCCACCCAGGGAGGCAGGCTCGCAGCCGGATGAGCTAATCATTTGCATAAACTCCCTGCCGGGCCCTCCCCTCAGGCCCCAAACCAGAAAAGAAGTGGAGCCGGGACCGGTTTGGCTCAATGGATAGAGCGTCGGCTTGGGGACTGAAGGGACCTGGGTTCAATTCCGGTCAAGGGCATGTACCTTGGTTGCGGGCATATCCCCAGTAGGGGGTGTGCAAGAGGCAGCTGATCGATGACTCTCTCTCATCGATGTTTCTATCTCCCTCCCTTCCTCTCTGTACAAAATCAATAAAAAATATATTTAAAAAAAGAAAAAGAAAAAGAAAAGTGGAGACCAGGGAGGCTGCTCACCAACCTACAAGGCACCAGACAGACCCCACGTGGCCCAGGGAGGAAGTCCTAGGTCACTCACCCATCCCAGACCCTCCCCCCAGGCAGGTCACATCCCCACAGGCAGGTCACGTAGTTTGAAGCCGGAGCTGTGGACAGAGCGGAGGTGACCGCCTGGGATCTCAGGGGCAGGGAGTCAGGGTTCCAGGGGTGTGATGAATGTCGGTGACCCTGTGTCCCTGCCACCTGACCTGCACCATGAGGCTCGGTCTTCCTTCCCAGGGACAGAAGGAACAAGAAACAAAACTTGGTGATGGAGTTCCGGCCTTGGCCTGGAGCCGGGCCTGCCTCTGCCACCCACACACACACAGGAGGACGCTGCCCCCAGGCCTTCAGGTGGGAAAATCCGCCCTTCCCCACCTACTGGGCCGAGCATCCTACCTGCCTGGGCCTGTCCTACCCACCCGTCTGGGTCCCTGAAGCTCCTGGGCAGGAGGGACGGGCTGGGAGGGCAGAGGGCAGTGTGCATCCCCCTGAAGTCACCGCTCACCCCTCATCTACCCCCCTCTCCACCCTCACTGTGCCAGGTGGGAGCGGTCCTGGCTGGCGGCGAGGGGGGGAAAGAGGTGGGCTCCCTGAACCTCATTATCCCGTCCTCCGAGGGCGAGCACTCCCCACAGAGGCTGCAGGAGACGCGTTTGCCAGAGGCCCTCCCTCACTCCCCACACAGGGGAGACTCAGTAAACGTTTGGAAAATGATCCTGGCTCAGGGGCTGAGCATCGACCCAAAAACCAGGAGGTCACGGTTTGATTCCCGGTCAGGGCACAGGCCCGGGTTGTGGGCTCGATCCCCAGGGTGGGGCGTGCAGGAGGCAGCCGATTCCTGATTCTCTCATCATTGATGTTTCTGTCTCTCCGTCCCTCTCAGTTCCTCTCTGAAAATAAAATATTTTTTTAAAAAAGGACAGAACAGACGGTATGAGTCACTCGTCCGGGAACAAAGGGAAGGGACAGGCCTCCTGATGTCTCTGCAGAACGGGACGCCTGATGGAGCCGGCTCCCTCTGCCCTCTCCCCCCCTCCCGCCCATCAGCCGGGCTGGAATGAAACGGCGTTCCGGGCTCTCATTGTTGGCACCCTTGACGGATTTATCTTCACCCCCAAGCCACCACGGCCGCGGGCCCCGGGCTCTCCTCCTCCCAGAGGTAGACGTGCCTGACCATGAGCCCGCCCGGCTGGTCGGCGTTCACCACCAGCTTCACGCAGCTCACGTTGGACCCCGCGGCCGCCGGCAGCGCCTCCTCGTCCAGCTGCCCCTCGCGCAGCGGGCCCAGCAGGACGAAGCTGGTGCAGAACGGGGGCACCCCCTCGGGGCCGCGGCCCAGCTCCACCTGCCCCGTCCGCAGCGCATGCGTGCCCTCCACCAGCGTGCCCGTGAGCACCTGCACGCGGCTCAGGCTGGCCGGCCGGTTCAGGATCACGGTGAGGTGGCTGCCGGCGCTGACGTTGTGGGTCCAGAAGAAGGACTCGTCCAGGGTGTAGGCCTCCCAGGGGGCGTGGACGCCGAGGACCCTCATGTCGGTGAACACGGCCCCCGGTGGGTTGTGGGGGCCGGGGGGCGGGCCCCGGCTCGGAGCCACCGGCATGGCCTTGGCCTTGGCCTTGGCCTTGGGGCCCCGGGCGGCCCGGCGGTAGGAGACCCGGTAGTAAAAGAGGAAAGGCCTGAAGAGGATGGGCCGCCGCTGGGCCTGCAGGATGCTGAAGCGCGGGATCAGCCAGCCCAGGGGCTGGTCGTGGCGGAAGAGCAGGAGGTAGCGGGCCAGCCGGGGCAGGTCGCGCGCCCGGAACAGCTTGGCCAGGGAGGCGCGGTTGGAGAACTCCAGCAGCGCCCACGGGCGCGCGCGCAGGGCCCACACCTTCCGACGGATGTGGGCGAGGAAGCCAGGCGCGCAGTAGACGTTGTCCCGCAGCAGGAGGAAGTAGTCCGAGTGCCCGGCGGCAGAGCTCGCCAGGAAGGCGTGGTCGGCGTTCTGCTGGGAGGCGGCGTCCCCCCAGCGGGCTTCCCGGCCCCCGATGACCGGACCGGCCGAAGAGTAGGCGTCGGAGGGCGTGTGGATCAGCACCAGCCGCCCCGCCAGGACCTGGGGGCCGAAGAGGCGGGCGACCCGGGCCACGGTCTCCCGGAGCCAGGCCACGTCGGCGTCGGCGAGGTGCACCAGCACCGTGAGGTGTTTCTGCTCCGCCGTGGAGGAGGCGCGGAACAGGGAGCTCAGCGTGTACAGGAGGCCGTAGGGGTCCCGGCCCGGCCCCGAGGAGATGCCCACCGTCAGCCACGCTGGGGAGTAACAGGGACCGCGGTCAGGCCCATGGGGGGGGGGGGGGCGGGGAGGTGGTCAAGGGAGTGGGTGTGAGTTCTTTGGGGCTCTTCTCTTCCTTTCTTCCCCTCCTATTTTCTTTTTATTATTATTACTTTTAAATATACTTTATTGTTTTTTTTACACAGAGGAAGGGAGAGGGATAGTTAGAAACATCGACGAGAGAGAAACACCGATCAGCTGCCTCCTGCATACCCCGCACTGGGGATGTGCCTGCAACCAACGTCCATGCTCTTGACCGGAATCAAACCTGGGACCTTTCAGTCCGCAGGCTGACGCTCTATTCACTGAGCCACACCGGTTTCAGCTATTTTTTTTAATTATTAATTTTTTTTTTTTAATGTCAGAGAGGGAGAGGGAGGGAAAGGGAGAGATATAGAAACATCAATGAGAGCCGAAACCGGTGTGGCTCAGTGGATGGAGTGCCGGCCTGCGAACTGAAAGGTCCCAGGTTCGATTCCGGTCAAGGACACACACCAAGATTGTGGGCTTGATCCCCAATGGGGGCGTGCAGGAGGCAGCCAGTCCATGATTCGCTCCCCTCCTTGATGTTTCTGTCTCTCTCTCCCTCTCCCTTCCTCTCTGAAATCAATTAAGAAATATACATATATTTAAAAAAAAAGAAAGAAAGAAAGAAAGAAAGAAGAAAGAAAGAAAGAAAGAAAGAAAGAAAGAAAGAAAGAGAGAAAGAGGGGGATCACTTGGAATGACACAGGAGGATCAGAGGGGGCAATCAAGGTGACACAGGAGGATCAAAAGGGGATACTAAAATGATAACCCCCCTCTGATTCTCCTGTGCCATTTTGATTCCCCACTTTGATCCCCCCTGTGTCATTTTAAGTGATTCCCCTCCCCCCACAATAAAAAGAAAAAAAAGAAGAAAAGGAAAGGCACTTCTCCTACAAGCCAGGAACCCAAGGTTTCCCCCCCCCCCAAGGTTTTCCGCCACCGATGGTGTGACCTCTCCCAAGTCCCTTCACCCCCAGCCTCCTTCCTGATCCGTAAACCGGAGGGGGTGGGACCGTGTGACGCTAAGGCCTGTCCTGTCCCCGTGTTCTCTAATCCCACGATTCTGCTTCCCTGGAGCAGGTAGCTGTGTCTGCCCACCCTCCCGGGGCCTGCCGGGCAGGTGACGCGGTGGGGAGGACGTCGCCAGATTCCGATATTCCCGGGCAAAGGGCTGAGCGTCTTCTCTCCTCCCTCTCTCCCTCCTCGCTGCCTGACTTCCCGGGACGCCCCTGCCTCCCATGGACCCCATTCCCCCCCCCCCCGTCCCCACCCCCAGAACTCACTCTTCCTTCTTTGCTGGATCCTTTTCATGTACGTGGCGGTGAGGTCTTGCCAGTTTGCTGGTGATCTCGGGGCCTTCCTCCCGCCATAACGGTCCCGGGGCGTCTACGAAAGCAAAGCATGGACCTTCTTTCAGGAAGAGAACCAGGGTTAGCTCGGGGGAGGGGGGGCGCCCCAGAGCATCCCAGGGGGAAGGGGAGGGGGAGCGGGTCCCCCAGGTGAGTCCCGGGCACTCTCAGGACGTCTGACTGCCGGCCCAAGGATCCAGGCTCCAGCTGGGTTTGCTGCCTTCCTCCCCTCAGCCCGTGGAGCAGAGCGGGGATGGGAAGGGGGATGCGGCTTCTTTATGGACCAGCCGGTCCCCATCCTCCCCCACCTCCTCTGGAGCTTCCTGCTCTCAGGTGGAGGGGACGGGCACTTTGGGAGTCTGCCTCCTCTCCCCCCATCCTCCGTTCCCTCTGAGCCTCGGGGCCGTTACATGTCGATCCTGGTCCATGTCCCCGGGGAGCTGCAGAGTGAGGAAGAGCCACAGGAACCCGGCGGCCAGGGCGGTGAAGAGGCAGTGTGTGAGGGAGCACCGCATGGTGTCAGGGCTGGCTCTCGGCTCCTGCAGCCAAAAGTGGACACGCACCCTGGGGACGGCCCGGCCCGGCCCTGCCGACAGCTCCCCTCACCCCCCGAGAGCCTCATCCTGGAGCCCTGCAGGCCCTACCCTTCCTCTTCTTTTTATTTTTAAAATAAAGTATGTTTTTTTAAATACGTTTTTAAAATATGTTTTTTTAATATGTTTTATTGATTTTTTTACAGAGAGGAAGGGAGAGGGAGAGAGAGAAACATCGATCAGCTACCTCCCACACACTCCCCACTGGGTATGTGCCCGCAACCAAGGTCCATGCCCTTGACCTGAATTGAACCTGGGATCGTTGAGTCCGCAGGCTGACGCTCTAGCCACTGAGCCACACTGGTTTGGGCCAATGCTCTTGTCTTGAGACAAACTGGCCAGGGCTCAAGCCTGTCTTTTCATTTGAGCTGGGACCTCAGGGACTAGCTGTGCTGACCCCTCCAGGCGGGGGGCTGCCTGTCCTGGGACCTGCTGACTTCTCTGTGCTGCTTTCACTTTACCAGCATGTTTCCCTCTCAGGGAGAGTGCCAGCTGCACATGCACAAGCACACGCACACTCACACACACACTCACATACACTTACACGCACATGCACACGCACACGCACATGTGCACACTCACACATACATGCACACACACACACTCACGCACACTCACACACACTCACACGCACATGCACACTCTCAATCACACGCACACACGGTGGCCCCCTCAGGGATGAGGTCTGTTTACCTCAGAAAACAGATGTTCCCCAGCCCAACCTGCTTTTCCCAGTAGAAGTGAAACTATTGCATACAGCAGCTGAACTTGGCGAAGGGCTGCTAAGTGCTAGTCAACCTGGGGGCCTTTCTTTGCTCTTTAATAAGAAAGTATTTCCATTTCCCTTCAACTCTTCTCCCCCCCCCCCCCCCCCCCCCCCCCCCCCCGGTCCGTGATCTTATTCACGGGCCTTGGTCAGCACAGGTCCTGGGAGCTGGGTGCACACCAGCCCTTTCCTGAGGGTTGGGCTGCTGGAATCCGGCTGGTGCGGCCGCAGACGCCCGCCTGTGCTCCCCTCCTCGGCGGCTTTTCTCCAGGGAGAATGTTTTCCTCTGTCTCTACGTGATCAGAGGGCAGCCTCTAATGGGCTTGTCACCAGGTCCCGATTCTCACAGGCGCGTTTCGAACACAAAGGAAACCGCGGTCAGTGGTCTCTATGCTTCCTGAGGCCACGGCATTCTCTCATCTTTCCATTTCCGTGGAGCCCTGCCAGGTCAGCATTCAGTGGAGGTTAGCAGGCTCCTCCCCTTAACCATTTAGCTTTAAAAATTATTATTATTATTATTATTGATGTCAGAGAGAAAGAGAGAAACATCCACAAGGAGAGAGAATCATGGACCAGCTGCCTCCTGCACGTCCCCCACTGGGAATGGAGCCCACAACCTGGGCATGTGCCCTGACCGGGAATCGAACCGTGACTTCCTGGTTCCTAGGTGGACGCCCAACCACTGAGCCATGCTGGCCGTGCCCATGTGGTAGGAGTTATTAAAATACAGCAGTAGTAGGGGTTCACAGATAAAACTTTTCTTTCCAGGCTTTTTTGTCAGAGGTGATTCAGATACCAACCACTTTAAGAAATAGGCTGGCCCTAGTCAGCTTGGCTCAGCGGATAGAGCGTCGGCCTGCAGACTGAGGGGTCCCAGGTTTGATTCAGGTCTAGGGCACAGGCCCAGGTTGTAGGGTTGATCCACAGTGAGGGGCGTGCAGGAGGCAGCCGATTCATGATTCTCTCTCATCACGGATGCTTCTATCTCTCCTTCTCCCTTTTTCTCTGAAATCAATAAAAATACATTTTAAAAAGCAGTCTGCCCTAACTGGTGTGGCTCAGTGGATAGAGCGTCGGCCTGCGGACTGAAGGGTCCCAGTTCGATTCCGGTCAAGGGCATATACAGTGGTTCCAGACACATCCCCAGTGCGGGGTGTGCAAGAGGCAGCTGGTCGATGTTTCTCTCTCTATCCCTCTCCCTTCCTCTCTGCAAAAAATAAATAAAATATATATATTTTTAAAAAACCCAACAAAACCAGGCTGCTCTCCTCTAGAACAGCAGGGCGCGGGAGGGTGTATACCGTGCGAGGCAGCTTTCCTGTTACAGCCAGAGGTGTTCACACCGTGGCTCTGTCCCCTCAGCGGGCCCCCCCCCCCCCGTGTCCTTTACCTGTCACTCTGGGGCACCAGCATCCGGCCCTCCGACCCCCACAGGAGTCCACCAGAGGTGAGGATGTGGGTGCCAGGACCCAGTGTAGGTGTCTGAACAGGGGTGGGCGGGAGGGGGACTGGCAATTACCCGGAGGCCCCTTCAGGTCTCCACCCTGAACCAGGCTGCCTCTGTGATGTGGCCCCTGTGTACTGCTCCCCGCCGGCATCACAGGTGCCAGGGGCAGGGCGCCCCCAGGGGCAGGGCGCCCGCGCAGGGACTGGCACTGGGCACTGTGATGCGTCTGGAGGGGCAGCACCAGCCTCTCTTCGGGGAAAAGAGGTCCGAGCACTGAGGGCCCAAACTCCCTGCACCACACCCTGTAGGGGGAGGTGCCCAACTCCCACTCCCTCGTCTTCTCCTTCCTCACCCCTGCAGTGACCCTCCCTTCCCTCCCTGAATTCCATGCCCTCACTTCCTTCCTTTCTCATCTTTTTTTTTTTTTTTTTAATATATTTTATTGTTTTTTTACAGAGAGGAAGGGAGAGGGATAGAGAGTCAGAAACATCTATGAGAGAGAAACATCCATCAGCTGCCTCCTGCACACCCCCTGCTGGGGATGTGCCTGCAACCAAGGCACATGCCCTTGGCCGGAACCGAACCCGGGACCCTTCAGTCCGCAGGCCGACGCTCTATCCAATGAGCCACACCGGCCAGGGCTAATGAACCTTCCTGAGCCTCAGTTTCTCCATCTGAAAAGTGGTGTCGATGCCCATTCTCGGGGTGGATGTGCCCAGGAGAGGACAGGTTTTTCCCCCGACCCGGACCCTGTCCTCTTCCCAATAGCACAGTGTATCCGTGTGCTCACATGGTCCCTGCTGGCCAGGAGGGACTAGCTGTAAGACGTCAGATGCCAGACCTGTGCTCCTTGGGCTGAGGACACACAGTTTGGTTGGACTCTGTTGGACTCTGTGTTTCAAACGAGCTTGGCAGGTTGGACTCTGTGTTTCAAACGAGCTTGGCAGGTTCCGTGCTGCCTGAGTCCGGATGTAGTTTGTGCAGGGAAGACTGACAGAGAATCCCAAGCCCTCCAAGCCGGGGAGCATGCTGGGAGGGGCCCTCAGCCGAGGGGTGGGGTGGCAGGAGGACCAGGGGATCCAGTTTCCCCTCTGCCTCTCAGCGGCTCCGGGCTGGGAGCCTGGGTCTGGGACCCTGTAAAGAGGCCCAACCTGGGTTCCCTGAGCTGAGGCAGCTGAGTAAGGGTGGCAGGACTGGGGAGGAGGGAATGGAGAGGAGAAAGGGATGGGGATGAGGAGGAAGGGGAGAGGTAGGGAGGAGGAGGAGGTGGGGAGGGGAAGGGGATGAGGAGGAAGGTTAGGGAGGAGGAGAGGTGGGGAGGAGGAGAAGTGGGAGGGGTGGGGATATGGAGGGGGGGAGGAGAAAGGGTGGAGAGAAGGAAGGGGAAAGAAGGGGAGGGGAGGAGGAGAGGGAGGGGATAAGCAGCAGCAGGAGTAGGTGCCTTCCCCGGACCCAGACCCAGCTTCCCAGGGACAGTAGCTCAGAAATGAGGCCCTGGTCCTGGTGGAAGCGGGTCAGCAGGGGGGAGGCTGCCATGGCTGGGCTGGGACAGAACTGGGTGGGGGGGGGGGGGGCACAGAGGCCACACACAGAAGACAGACCCGCGGAGAAGGGGTGGCGAGTTCCAGGGGGATGAACGGGGCCGGGCAATGGGGTGCCCCTGGCCCCCACGTGCTGACCGGCTGTCGCTCTCTCCACCGGAAGCCAGCATTTCACATCAGGCCCCCACTCCACCCGCAGCCAGCGCTCAAGGCCTCTCCTCCCTCTGCAGCTGAGCTACGGGAGGGATGGGCAGGAACAGGGAGGGTGTGGGCCGGGGTTGGGGGCAGAGAAGACTCGGGGAGAGGCCAGCACCCCGTTAAACGCTCCCCCCCCGGAAAAAACGAGGGGACACAATGGCCGGGCAGGAGGCCTCAAAAGCCACTGCATTGTGAGGTCGCGGGGCCTGCGGGCTCCACCCGGAACGTTCGTCCGTCCGCCGCCGGGCATCGCAGGCCCCGAGGTGGAGGAGCGCGGAGACGGGGGGCCCGGGCAGGGGATTGGGGGCTTCGGGGCGGGGGGGGGAGACGGGGAGAGGGAGCAGGGCCCCTGACCCCGGACTCCAGGGGGGCAGCTGCAGGCAGAGGGGCCGCCGTCCCGGGAAGGCGCAGACCGGAGGCCCGGGCGGAAGCGAGCCCCGGGAGGCGGCGGGGCGGGTTCGCGGGGGGCGGGGCGGGGCAGCACCCCACACGTGCGCTACGTGCTGCGCGAGCGCCCGGCCCGCGCCCCCGCCCGGCCGCGGGGAGCAGCCCGCCCCTCCTCCTCCTACCGGGCCGGCGGGGCGCGGGGGCCGGGAAGCTCGTGGCCCCAAATCCCCCCAAACCCGGGGCCCTTCGCGACCCCAAAGGGAGGCCGAGCCCGCCCCTCCTAGGTCTTGGGGGCCGGGGAGGGGGGATGCGGCCCCGGAGCGCGTCCCGAGGCTCCGGCTGCGCGGTTGGTGCGGCGGGGACGGCAGGGCGGGGTGTCGGGGGATGGGAAGGGAGGGCTCCTGGGGACGTGGCACCGCGAGTCGCGCTGGCTCCGCCCGGGCCCACGGGCTCCGGCCCTGCTGCCCCCCGGGAGACCGCGCCGGCCCCGGCCCCGCGATCGGAGCCCCGCGGGCGGCAGATCCCGGGCGGCCGGTCGGTCGGTCAGGCCTCCAGGGCGCCCCAGGGCCGGGACCAGACAATGAGCGAGGGCCCCGCCCCCCGGCGCCCGCGGCCAATGGACGCCCGCGGCAGGGCCCCGCCCCCCGCGCCCCGCGGCCAATGGGCGCCCGCGGCCGGGCTCTTTAAAAAAAGAAGGTCCGGTTGCGGCACCAGCTGGCGGATCCCTCCGCCATGTAAACACGCATCATAAAGGCGGGGGCCGCACCGCCCCCTGACGTCACGGC